AAAAAAAAAAGAAAAAAAAAAAGAAGAAGAGAGAAGAGCCGGGGGGGTAAAACCCAAAAAATAATGCAGGGGCGGGGCGCCCCCGCCCCGGCCGCTGCTCCGCCTGCCGCCGGCTGGGGCGACGGCTCCGCTCAGACCTGCCGGTCCCCTCAGATCCACCGGCTCCCGTCAGATCCACCGGCTGGAGCTCCCGTCAGGCCGGCTCTCTTCCATGCACCGGCTGCAGCTCCCCTCAGCCCGGTTCCCCTCAGATGCACCGGGTGGAACTCCCTTCAGCCCGGTTCCCCTCAGATCCACAGTCTGCAGCTCCATTCAGCCCGGTTCCCCTCAGATCAACCGGCTGCAGCTCCCCTCAGCCCGATTCCCCTCAGATCACAGCCTGCAGCTCCCCTCAGCCCGATTCCCCTCAGATGCACCAGCTGGAGCTCCCTTCAGCCCGGTTCCCTCAGATCCACAGTCTGCAGCTCCCTTCAGCCCGGTTCCCCTCAGATGCACCGGCTGGAGCTCTCCTCAGCCCGGTTGCCCTCAGCCCAGCCCCTCGGCCCCGCTGTCTCCTCAGATCCACCGGCTGGGGCTCCCCTCAGCCCGGCTGCCCTCGGATCCTCGGGCTGGGGGTTCTCTCAGCCCCTCCGCGCTCTCCAGCTCCGGCTCATTGCCGCTGCCCCGGCGGTGTCCGGGAAAACATCCCCCATGGCCGCATTGTGGAAACTTCGCCTCATCTTCCCACAGGCGGCTGCGCCGGGGAAGGGGCGCCCCGGCTCCTGTGGCTCGGGCTGCGCTACATTAAAAATCAATCTCCTTGCAATTCGGCTGCGCCGGCATTAGGCGTCATTGTAAAGCTGCTTCTCCAGAAACCACCAAAAGAGAGATTCTTGGTGTTGGGGAAAACACGGTGACAGCAGGAAGAGGGGAGTTTATTTGGATAAAATGCTAACTAATGCTGCGTTTGGGCGAACATTCCCCGAATAGCGCAAGCACGAGCTGTGAAGCTACAAACCCGCAGTGCTGCTGTCAGACCGCTCTTGTGGAAGGCGGCGGGGGCCACGCGTGTCACGGTGCCCAGGTCCAGAGGCAAACCCTGCCGTCGGCACCCGCGGACAGCAGGGAATCCTGGCTGTGGAAGCGCACGCAGCGCACCTCGACCCCGGGGCCGCGCAGGACGGAGAGCTGGCCCACGGCCACGGACAGCACCTTCACGGAGCCCTCGCTGCTGGCCACGGCCACCAGGTCACCTGAAACACACGGCAAAGGATCATCGAGGTTGGCAAAGGACACACGAGAGAGCGGCGCGGGAAGTTTTGAGATGTTGGCTTTAAAGAGACTCGCGTGTACTCCTGTTTTCTGAGATAAATTAACAGAAAGTTGGATGGATCAATAACAATGAGATTGGATTTTGGAGTGATTAGGCCAGTCTGGAGACCTCATGTTCTCCTCACAAGGAGCCTGGCTACTTGGACAGAATCACAGAATCTGCTGTGTTGGAAGGGACCCACAAGGATCATGGAGTCCAACTCATGGCCCTGCACAGGACACCGCAAGGGTCACACCATGTGCCCAAGGCTGTTGTCCGAACCTTTCTTGAACTCTGTCCGGTTTGGTGCTGTGACCATTCCCTGGGGAGCCTGTGCCAGTGCCCAACCACCCTCTGGAGGAAGAACCTTTCCCTAATATCCAACCTAAACCTCCCCTGACACAGCTTCAGGCCATTGCCACAGGTCCTGTCACTGGTCCCCACATCAGTGACAGGTCTGTCACTCATCAGAGATCAGTGTCTGCCCCTCCACTTCCCCTCACAAGGAAGTTGCAAACCCTGGTGAGTCCCCCCTCAGTCTCCTCCAGCTGAACAGACCAAGTGCCCTCAGTCACTCCTCAAGGCCCTTCACCATCATTGTTGCCCTTTGGATGTTCTCTGATAGCTTAATTTTTTTTTTATGTTACAGAGACCAAAACTGCACACAATACTCAAGGCGGGGCTTCCCCAGTGCAGACCAGAGCAGGACAATCATATCCATTATATTTGAATACAATTATTCAGGGACAGATTCTGAAACACAGACTGAGCACCAGAGGAGTAGATTCTCCCCTAATACCCGGAGGTATCAACATCAGACCATGCTTTTGACATTGCTTTTCTTGTACCACTCTAGGACATGAGGATATGAGTTTTCAGCTGAATTTCCAGAAGGTCGGGCATCTAACTGTACTGAGTGCTTGCTCCCTTATATCCTTATGGAAAAAAATGATATTTAAATCCTTAGTATAGAACAGTGTTTAACAGTAGAAAAAATAAAAGAAGACCTAAAAAAGGTTCTAAGGAGCTCTCAGGTTCCATGTGCTTTTTTGCAAATCAAATGGACTCAGTTTTCAACACTTTTAAGGAAGCAGAATGTGTTTATTATCTTCCTGCTTAAATAAAAGCACAGGTAATAGCTGGTAAGTGATATGTTTGAAGCGCCTCTTACTTACCCAGCCTCCAGATAAAGATTCTATTCTCCTTTAGAAATTAACTATAATAATAATGAGTTTCAGGTACAAAACAAAAAAAAAAGTCAATACATTAATTTCAAATCTGATGTGGTCCTAACAACAATGGGATCACCGTAGTGTCAATTGTGATCTTGGTCAAACACCTTTTTTCTATTTACAGCAAGTTCAATACACCCTGCAAGTGATTACAGCTCTTCTTATGTATCGAGATTTTCTCTCTGAAAGCAAAGACATCACCAGCAGAAGAATAATTGAAATTGACGTAGACCAAGTCCATCTGGCACCAAGGTCATAATTTTTGGGAAGATTATGAAAAACAGGAGACATTTTTCTATTTTTAGTAACTCAGGTTATTCACCAAATAGCCAGTGAGGACATACTGTCCAACAGACGTGAGCATGGAGGAATTTATCCCAGTTTTAACACTTTAGGGCCCTGGGTGTGCCTACGGGATGTACAGTTTATCCAGGGAATGTATCATCCCTCTGTTCAAACTAGGTCATAACAATGATGCTGTCTGTTCTGCTCATGAAGATCTGATGGCTTCATTTTGCCATTTATCAAAAGAAACACGTAGCCTCAAACAGCTTACAAATGCACTGAGAATATTTAACCACAACTTACGCTTAGTGTGGTCATGGATATTTGTGCAAGAATGGGAACTAGCAAGTAGAGCTAACCATGATAAATATGCCCTATTTGCAAACCTTTACAACTACCCGGCTTCTTCATCTAGAACAAAGCCTGACACAGCAAAGATCTGTAGGATGGATTAGAGTGTCCAAAGCAGCAGATGTGAATATTTATTATAAACTCTCCTCCAGCAAGTCTTTGCTGACAGAAGCATTGCATACGGATTGCACTTGCAGCGAGACTCTCCAGGCTGGATGACTTCTCCAGCAGCCAAACAAATGCCATTTTGCCTGCAGCCCTGACACCACAACAGCTGGGCAGGGGGTTAATGTCACTTCCAGCTTCTCAAAACCACTAATGAACCCACTTGTTACAGAGAGGGATAGGCAGGAGAAAAGGTCTGGACAGCTGCAGTCCACTTCCAGAAAGCAAGGGCAGGACAGAATGACAACTGAGAAAAAGCTTCAGCTCATTCACTCCCTGGGTTGAGCAGGGCCGGGGCAGGCCCCAACCCTGCATTTTTCTGCATGCTTTGCTAGGTAAGTCACATGCCTGAAGCAAAAGCATAGCAGTCATCCTGTCAGACCATGCCAGTATTCTGACAGTCCTGAGAATTGACAAAGCCAAGGGGAAAATAGAGAGGGTCAGTAAAAACCAGCCAGTTGGAGGGGCATTAGCATGCCACACTACCTCCATCACTGGCACTCACTGGGGGAAGGATGGAGGTGCACTTGGCAGCCCTGGTGAAGAATGATTCATTTCAGGAGTTTCTCCCTGGGTTAGGATGTGTTACTATCACTGACCATGCTACAGTCACCTCCTGGCGCAGTAGCAGCAGGATGCACAGGCAGATGTGTGTGAGGGGGAATGCACAAAATGACAACATCTCATTTCCCTCACCCTTTATGTCAACACAGATCTACGGGCTCATAACAATTTGCTCATTATAATGTAAATTTACTCCCTCCTTCCCTCCGAAAGGAGATGTTTCATTTTGGGAAGAGGGAACAAATTGTGTTTTATTGCTCTTTCAAAATTTTTTCCAATTAGGAAAGCAAACAAAAACTACTACATAATTGTGATGCAAGACTGTATTTTAATGAAGAATACTTACTTGTCACTAACAAAGGCACTTTGATATAACACTGGAGGAAGATAAAAGACTGAACAGAGGTTGTTCTTCATACCTTTGACCCAGCTGTCAGGTGGGGCTGGTCTATGCAAACTCACTGAACTGAGCAGTCAGGCTGATTTGCATTGAAATGAGTAGATTCTGCTTAGAAGATGCAAAGTCTCCAAGACTCTGACCTTAGATCTCACAGCCTCTGGATCTCCAGCTCACAAGGCTTCCAGAACCTGCTCTGGATCTGTGGGTGAACTTGGCAACTTGAGGAGATAAAGTGAAGCTTTGCTCTGCCTGGCCCCACGCCAATCCTGAGCTCAGCCTTCTCCCTCAACCTGGCAGACAAGGAGTGATGACAAAGCACATTGCCACCACAAGGAGACCCTTCAGCAGCATCCTTTGTACTGGTCACAACTGATTTGCTGTTGCCCA